TAAACTCATGTTACACTGCCAAAGCCCTCTGGCATTGTTCTTAAGTTTTAAAGAACTGTATAACTAAGGATTTTTTTTTTTTGGCGCTAAAAGGTAATACTTTTCCAGGATTAATAAGCCAAAAAAAGATTTTAATCATATCAATTTCATAATTGAATTTGGGTATTTTTTTCTTCTCCTGCTGTAATGGAGACAATTTTTGGAAAGAAATTGGATGTATGCAACCAAGACAAAGAACATTTTGAGGCAACACACATGTGTGGCTACCGAGTGCCTGTTTTGCATTACATTTAAATTGCCTGAAGAGCATTTGGCAAATGGAAAATTTTAAGTTGGTTTAAGCTTTTCCATGGACAATTTAGGTTTTGTACTGTTATTGTTATATCTGTGCTTTTGCATTCAAATCTTTTCAACCAGCATGGAAAAGAGAAAAACATTGTGTTAAAGGCTTTTTAATGACATAGTAACTCGTCTTGACAAACAGTGGATCTGTTCCATTATCTTATCTGCCAAAAAAGAAATATCTTCCAGGAGAATAATATGTGCTTAATCATGAAAGGCTTCAGCTTTGAAAGCTTCAAATGATAGAATCAGCCACAGAAATAAGTGCTCCGCATCCCCAAATTAGCTGTGTTCTTCTGATTATCTTGCAGGAACATCTGTGGTAACAATACTTTCTGGAAACCACTGCTGATGGGCTCAAATAGCTTTACTAAGTTGGCCTGGTTTGTCATGGAAAGAAAAAAATCAGTGACTTAAAAAAGCATGGGGCCGCCCCTCCCCCTGCCCGCTGCCCTTTGACCTTCAGCCCCAGCAGAGGCCGCTCTGAGCCCTGGCTCCGGAACACAGCCGCCCTCTGACCCCGGTGCCTCTCCGCGGAGGTGCAGCGAGGCCAGTCAACTCCAGTGAAGCCACTGCTGCTTGAGAATGGCAGCATTCCAACCAAAAGGCAATTTATAAATTAGAAAATGTACCCACTGAGGGTGGATGTTCTGTTCTGCTTCCAGATAGTTCTCCACAGAGCTGCGCTCACCTCCAGGCCAGGCTGCTTTGCAGGTGAGAACTCATGTTCAAGGGTTCCAAAGCCCGGCTCACCTGTGCAGGCCCAGGTCAGGGCAGCACAAATACACAGCACCCTGGCAATCTCTGACCGTGAGCAGGAAGTCCTATGACGCGACCTCATTAAGAAACAGGGCCTGTTCCCCTCCGCATCTGTGGGGTTTTGCGCTACAGGTTGTGCGTTGATTAAAACAATGTTATTATAATGACGCTGGAAGAGACAGGCTCCCCTTAGCTCCGCGGCAGGGCTGGTGTGCTCGTGGAGGGTGGTTTGCTTATGTGGAGGCGGGCAGAGGAGAATCTGCCAAGTGGAATATGGGAATATCAGAGGTTTGGATTCAAATGCGTTCTTGGTTGTCAGAATGCTGACAGAAGCCGCATTTCTGAGCGATGCTGAACTTAGAGGAGCCAAGAGAAGACAGTGCTGAGAAGTTTCCATGCCACTGCTTAGACCTTTCCATTTGACCCTGCTGCACCTCTCCACACGGGGAGAAGCCGTGTCGTCCAGCAGGACTAGGAAGAAGCACGTATCCTTCTAGAACCACCGGGTGGTTCATTACTCATGGTCCACGTCGGCCCCGAGAGACAGAAAAAGCCGCCCTTTATCTTGGGTGAGCCGGTATCAGTGTGGAGACAGGATCAGGGAACTGGTTTTCACAGTGTGTTGCTCCATATGAAAAGTGTAGAAATAGAAATAGAAAACCCTGAACAACGAATATCACCTGAAAATAAAATTTCATATACTCTCCCTCCTCCCAAAAATTATAACAATACCACAATCAAAATACAGCCAAACACTACCCATGGGAAGGCTGCAGTGTTCCCCTGCATGCCCCACTGGTAAGAGCAGCTGTGGATAATTTTACAGAAAAGAAGAACTTTAATATAAAATCATTCTGCTAGTATATCGGGTTTTTAAATAACAAACAAAAGTTAGGTTTTGAGTATGCTTGTATGTGTTGAAAATAAGTCCACTTCACTCAGAAATCACTTACTAGTGTGTTGTGCATGGTGAAGAGTTTAATGATGGTGACGGCGGTGACGGTGTTGTGAACAGCTGTGGCAGCGGATCACAGCCTGGTTTTATTTGGTCTCTGTGACAATCCAGATGCAGAAAGATTCCACCCAAACTTGAGGGGGGAAAATGTATGGCCATTCAAAATGAACCGAAAGACACTTTTTGAAAAGGATATTAATAATAATGCAAATGCTTTTTCTATCTGAATTTCCAAAAGCAGAATAAAAATGAAACTCACTAGAGGGCATTGGTGGAAAATTTAGATGTTAAAAAGCCTGACTTAATTGACGGAAAAACAAAGACTGCTGAAGTGAATACGACTTGAGTTGGGGTTTATCATAATTAAGAGCGAGCTAGCAGCCCTCATGATTTTGAAGGAAACTGTGTCGTTCTCTGCACTCGAGCAGGGCTCGTGTGGACAGCCGCCAGCGTCTGGGCCTTTCTGCACGTGGGCATTTTAAGCAGCTCTTCACCATGGTGCTATAAGGCTCAATCACGTCTACCCCAGTTTGGCTGTGTTTTTCTTGGTTGGCATAGAAGCTGCTCACAGAGTCCTAAAATCACTAGTTAAGGGTCAATTTGATATGAATGCTAAAATTATCTGGATTAACCATATTGTGCCCCAGTTATTTCGATAATTGGAATTGGATGAATTATGTGTTGATATAAACAACTGTGCTACCATTACCCTGAAAATAGCTGACCTCAGAAGCCATGTTCTGAGACACGCACGTTCTCATCCCACAGATCACACGAGAGAGCCAAGAATGTTACGGAGCTGTAGCTTGTCGACTCCAAGGTTCTGGGTGATTCAGCTCTCTTCTGCTCCAGCTTCCCAACTTTCAGCAGTAAAATCAATGAAATAAATTTCCTAGAGAATTTTTTCGGATTGAAGCAATGAAACTAGTTCCCTGCTAACGGAATTGACTTAGAAAGATGCCTTAGGGCTGAATGAATCACTGCTCCCTGTTTTTCTACTACTCCCCAGGACTGAAAGAGGGGACTGTGTTAAGGTCTTGTTAAAATTTCCCACGTGTATTTACCTCCACCCCTGGGTAAGTGGCAGAAGAATGAGGGGACTCACCCCAGAACAAATCCTTACTGCTACTCACAATGTCCCTAGGCAAGCTGGGCCAGCAGAGCACGTCACGGTCAGCTGGAGAAGGCCAAGGACGAACGAGAAATAAAAGGTAAGATGCCAGCAGCTCCTCTTTCCTTGGCCCAGAAGGAATTTTTAGGCAACAACGTCATAAATTCTTCTCCCACTGCTATTTAGTTTTGTTGTCCATGATAAGTTAAGCCAACTGTGGGCACAGGGTGAGGTCTGGCTTATCCTCTTGGTTACGTTACACTCACACAGAGAAGCCATCAGAGTTGAAAGCGACGCTCCGCCATTGCTCCAGAAGCCATAGAAAAAAGTGAACCTTGGAATGTGTGAATCAGAAGAAGCGTATCTTCAGAGGAGCGAAATCCAATAGCATCTTGCCTCCACAGGACAGGCAGGCAGTCACACGGCATCTAGACCCAGCGCGGAGGGAGAGTGGAGGCACGCCCTAAACTCAGGCGGTGCGGCTGAACTCCATGGCCCGTCCTGTGTCGCTGGATAGGCTTTCAAGGAAAGAATGAGTTAAGCCTGAAGACTGGTGCCCCAAAGTATTATACCTTCTTAAAAAAATTTTTTATATATATATATACACATACATAATTTCATCTTCTATTTCATCTTACCACTGTGAATGTGTAGTTTAGATAAAATTCAACATACAAATTGGATAAGCCAGCTGTCTTTTATTCTCCCGTCATTATGCTAGGCTTAGTCGATGTGAAAGAGGGTCAGGGAATTTCTCTTCAGCGTCGAGTAACTACACAGTTAAACAGAGTGGAGAGGCGGCCGTCTAGTCTGGTTTAATAACCCCGCTAAGAACTGCCTGGTACAGGGAGGCTCTGTTACTGTTCTCAGGAGATGCCTGAAACAGCGGACAGTTCGCCAGGGGAAGGAGCACAGTGATGCGGGGGCTTTCCCCCGAGGCTGCTCGCTCGCTGCGACCGAGGCGCACGGCGACCGGGCGCGCCATCGGGACGTCTAACCGAGTGCCGGGTGTTCCTTCCCGGATATCCCACTGGACCTTCACACCCGACGTCCGTAAGTCTGAACTCACCCCCCTTGTTAGGCTACAGCCCACCCTGTCTTGCCTCTCTCTGGCGATGGCATCAACACACCGCTGAACCACTTGCCGGAGTCGGAACCCTTGGCGTCACCCTAGGACCCTCCCCCGCTCTCTTACTGACGGATTAGGGTATCCAGTCCTGGAAACTGCAGTCCGAGTAGCTCTCCAGTACGCGCTGTTCTAACAGACTCACAGAGAACAGACTTATGACTACCAGAGGGTAAACGGCAGGAGTGGGGAAGGGATAAATTGGGAATTCGAAATTTGCACCTCTTGGGGAGTGACGGAAATGTTAGCTCTCTTGACTGTGGTGGTGGTTTCGTGGGCGTGCACAGTGATCAAAGTACCAACTGGGACATCTGGAATATGTGTAGTTTACCGCAGAGCAATCACGCCACAGTTAAGGCATTAGGAAATGAGTCATTCTCTCCTCTCCCCAGTGCCCCTCCCCTCACTCTGACATCCGCAACATTCCTCTAATTCACCCTTCACCCTGCCCCTGTCAGTCCTTGGCAACCTATAAATATGATCATTATTCTATTCAGTTTTTGGTTTGTCCTCTTCACAGACGGGACTAAAATGGATACTCCTTACCCTTGTGCAGTGTTGCTGGGAATATAAATTGGTGCAGCCACTGTGGAGAACAGTATAGACGTTCCTCAAAGAATTTAAAATAGAATTCTGTATGATCCAGCAATTCCACACCTGGGTATACACCCCAAAGAATTAAAAGATGGGTCTTGAAGAGATATTTTTACACCCATGTTCATAGCAGCATTATTCATAATAGCCGAGATATGGAAGCAAGTGCTCCTCAGCAGGTGAATGGCTCAGCACACGTGGCACATTCACAGAATGGAGTATCACTCAACCTTAAACACGAAGGAGACTGCAACACACGTTGCAGCATGGATGGACCTTGAGGACACGATGCTAAAAGGGAAGTCACAAAAGGGAAAAATAATTCATGATTCCACTGACATGAAGTGTTTAGAGTAGCCTAAATCAGCATTCTGAGAGGCAGAATGGCGGTTGCCAGTGGTTGGAGGAAGGACAAATGGGGAGTTACTGTCTAGGGGATCCAGAGTTTCAGTTTTGCAAGATGAAAAGTGTTCTGGAAATGGGTGGTAGTGATGGACGCACAACATTATGAATGCATTTAATACCCCCGACCATATACTTAAATGTGGTCCAGATGTTAAATCTTTTGCTATGTGTATTTTACCATAACAACAACAACAAAAAAGGTTTTAAAAGTGTATATTCCTTTGTATCTCTTACAAGGTCTTTCATGATCTGGCCCCTACATTCCTAACCAGCCTCATTTCACCCCAGGCCCCTGCCCAACTACTGTCTGACCTCTAGCAATGCCAAAGTAATTGCGGTTCCCCGGACGTGGGAGCCGTGTTCTCTCTCGTCATGTCCACTGACAACGTTCTATTTTTCTTTCACGTCTTGCCCAAACGCTGCGTCTCTGCAAAGTCCTTCCTGTCTTCTGCAGGCGCCTGTCATGTCCCCTTACATTTAACACACATCTCCCATCCCGGGCTCTTATTGTAACATCCAGCCCCTCCTGAGGCTAATTCCTTATCTGCGGGAGCTATGTCTTTTCTTCTGAGAATCTGTGACACAGGCGTTCAGTAAGTAATATTTGAGAAGCAGGTAAATGAACATGTGCTTTGATATGTTCAGATCACACTGGCACTCTTTGTGTTATTTACTCCTCCCCAGGGATGGCAGCTATTTCTGATTAAGGAGCTAACTGGAGCCAATTTGGGGTTTTTTTGGAGGGTGTCCCAACTTCATTGAGGAATAATTGACAAATATATATGTCTACTTTTAAGTGTACAATGTGATGATTTGATATATACTGTGAAGTGGTTACCAAGATCAAGATTATTAGCACATCCATCACCTCACATGGGTAACTCTGTGTGTGTATGTGTGTGTCTGTGTGTGGTAAGAAGCCTTAAGATCTGCTCTCAGCAACTTTCAAGTATACAATGTTGTAATATTCATGGTAGTCACCACGCTGTACATTAGATCCTCAGAAGTTATTGTTACAATGAAAGTTTGTACCCTTCGATCTACATCTCCGCACTTCCCCCAACCCTCTGGAAACCAGCATTCTGTTCTCTGTTTCTATAAAACTGGCTTTAAAAAAAAAGATTTCACATATATATGATACCATACAGTTTTTGTCTTCTTCTTCTTTTTTTGTCTGTCTTATTCCACTTAGCATAATGCCTTCAAGGTCCATCCATGTTGTTGCAGGTGGAAATAGCTTCTTTTTAAAGGCTGTATAATATTCCATTGTGTGTGTGTGTGTGTGTGTGTGTGCGCTTTTGTGACATTTTCCAAAACAAAACATATAAATGGCCAAGTGAAAAGCTGCCTAACATCACTAACCTTCAAAGAAATGCAAATCAAAACCACAAGGAGCTATCACCTCATGCCTGATAAAATGGCTGTTAAAAAGACCAGATCACAAGTGTTGGTGAGGACTGTGGAAAAATGACTATAAGTATGCATACCTAGGTGCAGACATCACATTTTCTTTATCCATTCATCCACTGAACGGCATTTAGGTTTTCATATGTTGGCTATTATGAATAATTTTGCAAGGAATATGGGTATAAAATATCTCTTCAAAATCCTTCCTTCAGTTCTTTTGGGAATGTACCCAGCTCTGGGATTGCTGGATCACCTGGTAACTCTATGTTTAATGTTTCGAGGAGCCGCCACACCATTTTCCGTAACGGCTGTACCAGTTTCTATCTCTGTGAGCAGTGTAAAAGCCTTCCCGTTTCTCCACATCCTCACCAACATTTGTGATCTCTTGTCTTCTTGGCAGTAGCCATCCTAGCAAGTGTAAGGTGGTATCTCCTTGAGGTTTTGATCTGCATTTCTCTGATGATTCGTGCTGTTGAGCACCTTTTCATGGATCTTGCATATCTTCTTTGGAAATATGTCTACTTAGGTCCTTTACCCACTTGAAAAGTGGATTATTTGCTTTTTCTATTCAGTTGTATGAGTTTGTAAAATATATTTTGGATATTAATCATTTATCAGATGTATGATTTACAAATATCTTTTCTCATTTGGTGGGTTGCCTTTTCTATTTATGGGTTTTTTTTCCCCTTTATCGTGCCAAAGCGCTTTGGTTTGATATAATCTCGCTTGTTTATTTTAGCTTTTATAGCTTGTGTTTTTATGTCTTACTCGAGAAATAATTGCTAAGACCAATGTCAAAAGGCTTTTCTCTATGTTTTCTGCTAGGAGTTCCATGGCTTCAGGTCTTAGATGTAAGTCTTTAATCTATTTCAAGTTCATAGTTGTTAAGTGTGAGATCAGGGTCCAGTTTTATTCTTTTTCATGTGCCTCTCTAGTTTTCCCAACATCATTTATTGAAGAGACTATCCTTTCCCTATTGTATGTTTTTGGCACCCTTGTAAAAAACTTGGTTGACTATATATACATATATATATTCAGTCTCTATTCTGTTCCCTTGCTTGATTTGTCTGTTTTTATGCCATTGCCACACTGTTTTGATGACTACAGCTTTATAGTATAGCTTGAAATCAGGGAGAATGATGCCTCCTGCTTTGTTCTTTCTCAGGATTTCTGTGGCTATTTGAGGTCATCTGTGATTCCATTTAAAGTGAAGGATGGTTTTATTTCTACTTATATTTAAAATGCCATTGGATTTTGCTAGGAGTTGCCTTGAACTTGTAGATTGCTTTGGGTAGTATGAGCAATTTCACAGTATTAATTCTTCCAATCCAAGAACATGGGATATCTTTCCATTTATTTGCCTCTTCTTCACCTTCTTCCATCAGTGTGGTATAGTTCTCATTGTACAGGTCTTTCATCTCTATGGTTAAAATTTTTTCTAAATATTTTCATCGCTTTTGATATTATTGTACATGGAGTTGCTTTTTCTATTTCTCTTCCAGATGGTTTCTTATTAGTGTATAGAAATGCCACTGGGTTTTGTATGTTGGTTTTGTGTCCTAACACTTTGCAGAATTCATTTGGAGCCAATTTGTTAGTAAGTCTCATCCTGGTAAGTATAGTTTTGTGAAAAAGAGCAAAAATGCAGAAACTCCACAAGCCTGAAGCACCCCCTGTCTAATTGTATGGTCTCAGTCAAGTTACAAAATCCTGGAACTCATAGATTCTTCATATGTCAAGTAGTCGTGATAATAATAGTAACTATCTCAGAAGCTATTGTGAAAATTTAGTGAGGAAGTGCACACTTAGCCCCGTGACTGCACCACGGTGAGTCTCGACATGTGTTAGCTATTTCTACCCTTTGCTTCACAACCCCACCACCACTGAAAGCGTTCTTGATAGCAGAGGTCAGAAGGAAGAGACACGTAGTTAATTAATGTGCCCATAATGATAGTGCCTTGGCGTTTCATGTTCTCATGCGTATGTGCCTATTAGAGTGTCAGCAGTATTCCCAACCTGCCCTGAGCAAGAGTCTCATTTCATTCACTGTGCATGAATCTCATACATGGAGGCGGGGGGAGAAAACAAGAGTGGTAAGAAATGGTAGAAGGTGGAGAAGCTCATAGCACAGAGGGGAGGGGGAAAGTTAATTGCCAGCCTTCTTTATATATATATATATTTTTTTTTAATTGAAGTGTAGTCAGTTTACAATGTTGTGTCAATTTCTGGTGTACAGCACAGTGCTTCAGTCATATAGGAACAGACGTATATTCATTTTCATATTCTCTTTCACCATAAGTTACTACAAGATATTGAATGTAGTTCCCTGTGCTGTACAGTATAAACTTGTTGTTTGTCTATTTTTTATATATTAGTACCTGCAAATCTCGAACTCCCAATTTATCCTTTCCCACCCCCTTCCCCCGCTGGTAACCATAAGTTTGTTTTCTATGTCTGCGAGAATTGCCAGTCTTCTTAATCTGCCTTTTAATAGAAAAGGTTCAGTCAAGTAAATTACGTGTTTACCTTCCAGCTAAAAGGCATCTCTCTACACGCAGTCCCCACTGTCTGAACAGGTAAATGTGTTCAGCTGGCAGAACCCCAGACTGGCCCCCCTGGATCCAGACTGCACAGGTCTACCGATTCTCTTCTTATTTAGCTCACATCTTTTCCCCACCCTCGGCATTTATTACAGCTATCTTTAGCACCTCTAGCAGTTGTAGGAAAAGCATTTACCATCTCTTTGTTGAAGCAGCAAAATGCAACATGAAAAATTAAGCCATTTCTTTCTTTAAAATGTGCATTAAGATAGTATGCAATTAGAAACTTCATTACCACAGCTTTTGGACATACCCACCAAACATACGTTAAGAATTTGTTTGAACTTTTAAGAGCAACTTTTCATTCTTCATGGTTAGTATAAACGTTTCCATGACACGTGTGGAGCCACATAATGGTCTCTAAGAAGGTAGCGGAGGAAGTGACAGTAACGCTTGGTGTAGTTCTCATTTAGCTGATGGGTTTCCATTCAACATGCTATTCAAGTGAGAAGAGGTGGTTCAGCAGGCCAGTAACGGGCCACAGAGCTTTCCACCTATGTGTCCAGCATCTCTGTTAGAAAGGTCTGACCATGTGACAAGTTTTCGGTAATGCAAAGATGTAATTCCGGTCGGGTTCCCTGTAGAACAGCCCATTCGCCAAATGACCACTGAGAGGAAAGAGCACTAGATTCGGAGTTATAAGACCTGAATTCTAGTCTCAACAACCACCACTTTATTTCCATCTCATTTAACTCCCCAGGGGCCTCAATTTCTGCCTCTGTCAAAAGAACACATATTAAAGGCATCTAAGCATCGCAGAAGCCCTATTAACAGCACAAAAGTGAGGCGCTTTGAAAGTGCTGTGGGAAGTGTTGATAGCTGGACAGATTTGGGGTCCTGTGACTGCTCCGCCAGCCCCTAGGTCTTTGACTTCCAGGGCTGTGTCTCACGTGCTGAATCAGCCAGGGTTCCTGAGCGCAGACGCGGAACCCACGGTAGCTGCTTATACGAGCAGAACTGAACAAGGAGTGTCCATGGCTCGTGGAGTTGTTGGGGGAGGGACTGAAGAAACAGACTCCAGGCTGAGGTTCCAGGAATCACTCCCAGTACAGCACTGCCAGCGTGGGCCACCAAGGTGACTGCTGCCTCTCCTACAAACCAGGAGACCCTGGAGCAGATCTGTGCACAGGCACCCCCCCCCCCACATCCACACCCGTGACCCTGATGCTTCACGTTCTGTTTCTCTACTCACTGGGCTGCCTTTTCAGAGTTCTGAGTAATTAGTCCAATTAGTCCAGTGTCTAATTGATGGCGGAAAAAATCATTACCCTCTCAAGACAGTCTGGGAAATGTAGTTTTTAGTTTTTAGCATTTAGGAGGGAGCTGGGGTGGGTATTGCCCCAGACAAGAGTCAGATTCTATCACATGTGTCTGTAAAATTCCTGGCACATCAATGGGGATTCTTGGACTGAATTCAATATAATTAAAGAAAACATTATAAAAGCAATCAGACCACTAGTAATTGGATACCTATGATGTGCAAAAGATATTCTACCCAAGTGAGAAAATCTGAGTTACTAGAACAACAGTCCAGTACAGAACTGTGTGTACTTTCTGGCACTGCACGTTGCTTTGTGTTTCTAAGTCTTTGGATAAGCTCTTCCCTCTGCCTGGGGTGGCCTCGCTCTCTTCTCCATCCAGCTGACTCCAGGGATGAATATGTTTGGTCCTTTAAGGCATTATCCAAGCTTCACTTCTTTGGGAAACTTTCTGTGTCAGTTAGGATACTTCTGACTGCATGTAATGGAATGACTTGAAGTGGCTTCAATAATAAGGGTTTATTATCTCATATAACAACAACAACAAAAAGACAGATTCCACGTTTGCAATTTGGCAACACTACAATGTCCACGAGGACATCTGCTCTTCAGTCCTCTTCCTGTTAGAGCTCATTCTCGGCCTGTCCTTTCATGAGCACATCACGGGTGTCACAGCTCAGACATGTTGTCACATAATTGTGATCAAAGCCAGAAAAGAGGTTCCTCCTTGCAAGGCTCCTTCTATAGGAGAAAAGCCCGTCCAGAGTCCCATCTGTGGAATTACTTTTACATCCCCCTTCCCAGAGCTGTGTCACGCGGCCACACCTAAACCCATCATTGAGCAGGGCACAGAAGTGCAGTGATGGGCAGTGACTGGCTTAGACTTGTGGACATTCACTTCCTGGCCCCACCAGGGAGGAGGAGAGGGAACACCATAACCAAATCAGGGCTCTTCCAGGAAGGAAGAAGGAGGGGGAGGAGGTCGCCCAGTGCATGAGCGATACCTTCTCACTCACAGCCATCACACTGTCCTGAGCTGTGTGAGGTGCCCCACCTCAGCACTCTCACTGCAGCTCATAATTAGCGCAATTGCTGTGCTTATTGCACTGTCAACTCACTCATCAGTTCTGCCTCCCCCTGAGCTCCTCCAGGGCAGGGGCTATTTAATATTCATCTCCATCTCTAGACTTAGCTCAGTGTCTAGCCCTAGAATGTGTCCAGTAAACGTTGAACTCAAATAAGTCAGATTACATAGGTCATGATGCTATCCATGTAAATGGATATTAGCCATTCAAAGGAATTATTATTTTATTATCTAACTAGATCACACTTAGACAGATCATCTAAAATGTTTTTGCGCAATTAAACGTATTTATTTCAAAATGCCAGTAAAGCAACTGGTGAGATGGACATAAACCAGCAAACTGAGAACTACTTCGCTTATCTGGTTCCTGTGAAGTAGCTAATCCATGCAGTTAATCATTTCGTTTTCAGTCCTTTCATTTATATCATGTCTACGTAAACAAGAACATGTCCGGTAACTCAACAAAATGAAAATAATTTTGAATTAAGTTCAAAAACATGTAAACAGTTACACTAAATTTGTGTCCTACGATGAGAAGCAATGTGAAGGGGAGAACATTTTGTGATCATTTACTCAACACATTTTGGTCTCATACTTGCAGCCAAAATGAAAGAGCAGGGACTCCATCTGAAACACCCAATAAACAAACATATATATATATATATTTATGTTTTTATAAATGTATACATATTTATTAAAGATCAGCCCTATAATTGTCCTAGTTTACTGCCTTGAAAGGCTTCCCAGGCAGTGGTGCAGGCTGGGGGGGAATCCAGGGGAACCCAGAGGACTTCTGGATTGAGGAGATGAGGTTGGAAGTCCAGGGAGACCAAAGAAGCTGATGTTCACAAAACAATGAGAGATCAGCAAAGGGTCCCTCTTAAATATTCAGCTGAGTCCAGATCAGAACATGCTAAAAAGGAACCTCTCAGGGGCTGAGAAAAGAACCACCCACAAGATCAGAGCTGGTGGTGTCCAGCAGTTGCCCTGGGCCAGGACGAGTGCCTATTTCCACCAGCCAGACTGGAAAATCTCATAATCCATGGGGCTTTCAGTCGAGTACCCAGGGGAGTCAGACCTCAGTAGTGGGGAAGAACTGTTCCTAGCACAGCAGACCTGACAGTCATTAAAATCAAGACCTGAAAGGATCCAACTGTTTCCAAGTAATTTAACTGTGTCCCAGGAAAAAAAAAACTTCAAAAATATTTATAAGAATAGAAGAAAACCTATACCCAAGAAGGTAAAGATTGCAATGTCATCCATTGAATCAAAAATTACCTACAGATTCAAGGCAACCCCTATCAAAATTCCAATGGCATTTTTTTTTCACAAGAGTAGAGCCAATAATCCAAAATGTGTATAGATCCTTTGTGGACCCCAAATAAGGCAATCATGAGCAAGAAACCAAAGCTGGAGATGTCACACTCTCTGATTTCAAACTATATTACAAAGCTATAGTAGTAAAACAATATGATATTGACATAAAAACAGACACACAGACTAACAGAACAGAGCAGAGAGCCTAGAAATAAACGGACCATGCATATATGGTCAATTAATTCACAGTGAAGGAGCCAAGAATATAAATGAGGAAATTCTTCAAAAAATGGTGTTGGGAAAACGGACCCTCTATCTTACACTCAGCACAAAAACCAACTCAAAATGGATTAAGACTTGAACAAAAGACCTGAAACCATACAACTCCTAGAAGAAGACATAGGGGGTAAACTCCTAGACATCAGTTTGGCAATGACTTTTCGGATTTGACATCAAAAGCAAAGGCAACAAAAGTAAAAAATAAAATGAGATGACACCAAACTGAAGAGCTTCTGGACAGCAAAGGACGCCATCAACAAAATGAAAAGACAACCGACAGAATGGGGGAAGTACTTGCAAATCACACATCTGATGAGGTATTAACATCCAAAATGTGTGAAGAACTCACACAAACCAGCAGAAGAAGTCCAATTAAGAAATGGGCAGAGAAGCTGAACAGACATTTTTCCAAAGAAGATACACAGATGCCAACAGACACATGAACAGATGCTCAACATCAGTAATCATCAGGGAAATGCAAATCAAAGCTGCCGTGATATATCCCCTCACACCTGTCAGAACAGCTATTATCGAAGAGACAACAAATAACAAGTATTGGCAAGGGTGCGAAGAATAAGGAAACCCTGGTGCACTGTTGGTGAGAATGTAGATTGCTGCAACAAGTGTGCAGAGCAGCATGCAGTTTCCTCAAAAAAAAAATAAAAATAGAACTACCAAGTGATCCAGTAATTCCACTGCTGGGTATGTATCACTCAAAGATATCTGCACCCCTATGTTCCCTGCAGCAGTATTTATGATTGCCAAGATATGGGAACAACCTGAGTGTTGATCGACAGATGAATGGGTAAAGAAAATGTGGTGTAAATATACAATGAAATATTTTTCAGGCATAAGAAAGAAGGAATTTCTGCCATTTTCAACAATATGGGAGGACCGCAAAGGCATTATACTAAGTGAAAAACCAGATGGAGAACGACAAATACCATATGATCTCACTTATATGTGGCATCTAAAAAAAAAGCCAGAGGAGAGAGGTGTCAGGTTGGGGGCTGGAGTGTAATGGGTGAGATTGGTCAAAAACAAATTTCCAGTTATAAGATAAGTAAGTCCTGGGGGTGTAATGCACAGCATGGTGACTAAAGTTACAAACATTGTAGTGTGTATTCAAGAACTGCTTAGAGTACTCTCTTAAAAATGAAAGATCTTAAACATCTTAAAAATTCTCATCACAGGAAATAAAAATCGTAACCATGTGGGGTAATTGATACTAACAAAACTTGGGGTAATCATTTTGTAATATGTACAGATATCAAATCATTATGTTGTACACCTTGGACTAATACAATGTTATACATCAATTTAATCTCAGTAAAACTGGAGGAAAACAAAGGATGTAAGCAAGAATTCTGCAGAGCACATGCTTTAAAATACTGAAGGAACAAACTGTAACTCTCCAGTTCTATTTCTTTCAATTCTCTATTTCTTTCAATTCTCTTTCAAAAACGAAATCAAAGTAAGACGTATCCGATATACAAAAGCTGAAATAAACACTGTCAGCAGACTCACACTGTAAGAAATATTAAAGGAAATCCTTCAGGCAGAACACAGAGCATAGAGATGGAATTCTGGAGCCACAGAAAGGATGGGTGCGCATAGAAAACATGCAAGATTTTCCTGCTACTTAAATCTCTTTTCAGAATAAACGGACTAAACAAAAATACTAGAAATGTACTGTGGGGCTTATAACATGGAAAAGTGGGAAGTCGGATAAACGAGCCCAAAAGCTGGGAGAGAAGAGATGAAAGTACACTGTCCTAAAGCGCTTCTGCCCTGTGGAGGGTGACCAGCTGTTTCAGTTTACCTAGGACAGAGGACTTTCCTACAACACCGGACTTTTGGTGCTGAACGAAGACAGTTCCAGGAAGACCAAGCTCATGAACCACCCTCTTGCATCAGGTGGTGTTACGTCCCAGAAAGGCAGACTGCCGGAGACAAGGTCAACCTTGGCCTGTCCACTTGACCTCTCTGTGTTTCGGTTTACTCATCTCTAGTATCGGGAACTACCATGCCTTCTCATCACTGTTCCTGGAAGAATTTAATTATATGAGGCATGTAGAGTGTTTGGCACCTCCTAGGCATTAATAGATGTTAGCTATTTTTATGATGTAATTTGTTTTGGGGAAAAAATCAAAGTTATATCGTAGAGAATGAATAAGAGGAAAGATGAGCAGAAACCAGAGAGACAGCTTAGTTGGCTAGTATGGTAACTAGACCAGAGATGATAAGGACCAGGACTAGAGAGGGACACTGGTATGGAGGCAAAGAAAGACTCAAGACAAAGTAGAATCCACAGTGTTCAGTGGTCCGTCCTTTCAATAAATGCTCGCTGAGCACCTGCTGTGTTCCAGGCACTGAGGACACACACCCAGATCCGGAGAATTCTGTCTGCAGTTATGTGGTGCTTAGGGCTCATCTGTGCTTCAGTTTTCACCCAGAAATTCAAATATTTGTTAGTTTATAGACTCAGCCAATGAGTAGCTTTTCTCCTCTGTGTATTAAATTGAAAAAAAAACTGTAAAGAGAAACAACATTTAGGGTCAAAAATATGAAAACATTTTTAGGCCTAGTCAGAAAGACCCCTACGAACCATGAAGTCTTAGCAATTTTTCTCTTCCCTTATATGATAAAATTATTGTAGATTTTAGTCATTCGTAAAAGCATGTGATGGTGATACTTGATACTGCTTGTGAAGATTTGTTTTCTACATCAGGAGAACCTGTCATTAAATATGGGAGATTTTTGCTTCATAGCTTTCAAGCTGTATTTTGTTAAATTTGAGGACATTGACACTGCAATCCTTTCCTATTGTTCTGATATTTCAGAGAATTTGTGTAGGTGCCATGAACACAAATTTGGCTCACAGAGCCCTTCCTGGCTGAATTAAGGTTAAAATTAATATCCCTCCTGTGTACAATACTGCTTTTGTCATTTTGACAAATGGCTGATGATTCAAGGAACATAGAGATGAACCCTCCATGATAAAAAAAAAGATCAGATTTTACGTGTGTTTTTAGCCTATGTGGGGTTTTTCTTCTGTTTTTTAATATATTTTTTAAAGTCCAAGAGATCTGTCTACTTATTTTTAAATCTTATTGTTGTAATACATTTATTTTTGTTTCTTATGGGTGACATCTAAAAACTTAATAGAAGACTAAAATTGCTTAATATTGTCAAATAATGCTGAAGGAGTGCTCACTTACACTCTGACTTCTTGAGGTAAATAAACATTATCTGAAGTATCATGGACAAAACTTCTGGTCCTTTGCTGCAAAAGAGGAAGGAAGTGGTAAGGAAAGCACAGAGTGGGGCTTTATTTTTAAACACACAGCCTTTATATTTAAAAGTACGCACACAAAGTATTGCATTTTTTATCAAATGTTCTAGCTTTGCGATGACCTTAATTCATATATGGACGTGCTAGACGGCCAGATCTTCACAGGAAGGAAGGAGATAGAAGAGCAGGTCTTAGACTGAACGTAAACGGACAATTCAGTCATCATATTCATGTTCAGTGAGTCTCCAGCTCCCTGAGTCATTGGGTTTTCTGCTTTTAGGAACAGAGATGAAAATAGGGCAGAGTTCCTACTGCCCCAGGGAAACACAGCCCACCACCTCCAGAGCCACTGACGAAACCTTGAAATCTTCACACAGAAGCAGGAGCCCTCGCAGTATTTAAAAAAATAAATAAACAACTTAGTTGAATTATCTTACTGTATTCCAAATCAGGAAAAGGACGGGTTAAGGCTGATCTAAGACCAGAGGTCCCTGTCGCTCTCTTTTCAGATCATCACTGGTCCTCCGTGCAGCGCTAGCACGTTGGTCCCCCCTTCCGCAGCGCCGGATGCCCACACGCGCAGAGCAGAATCGTCGCTCTCGGCGAACACGCGCGACAAGGCCTGTGCTTACAGACGCGTGTGTCCTGAAGCCGGAAGTCAAGACCGCTCGATACACTCCGTCTGGGGCCAAGGCACCCAAAGGAGCAGCAGCCTCCCTCATTTCTTCTGTCTCCC